TTTAATAGAATAAATTATGCTATATAGATAAAGGAGTAAGCATGTATAATCTAGTGGCCTTTGTAATTAAAATATGAAATTTATTTATTTTACAACAATTATGAAACAAGTTATTTCAACTTATATTAGTCATTCTTGTTGGTCAGGGTGTTAGCTATATATAGTGTGCAGGGGGTATTAAAGGGGAGGAAACCGGAGTACCCAGAGAAAACCCATGTTGTTGGGCAGGTGACCCCATACCTTTTCACATCCGATCTATAAATCGAACAGCGGCCACCTTGGTGAAAGGCCACCTGACAACCCTTTGTAATAAGAGCTGTCATAGTTTACTGTGACATCACTGAGGAGTACCAGTCTGTTGGAAGGATGCATGTACATGTACATCACACAATTACTTCCCCACAATTCCTGGTATGCATTTAATACAGCTGGGTAGACTAGAACAATCAAGTCAAATACTCTTGTTCTAAGAAGATACAAGCATGTCACCTGCATCAGCAGTAAACACACAACCTTTTGGTCAGTAAGACTAGGGAAGCTAAGTAACTTGCAATCCCAGCATGCTGGTTTGTTGAAGGATCCTCGTACATCACTCAATTACTTCCCCGAACAGGCTGGTATGCGTTAATACAGCTTGGTAGACTAAAACAATCAAGTCAAATTCTCTTGTTTTTAGAAGCAACAAACTTGTTACCTGCATCAGCAAAAACATGCAACCTTTCGGTCAATGGCATAACAGAGCCTAGCAGCATCTCCAGAGGATAATAAGCCTTTAGTCATTAAAATTGATTTTGTGAGTCCTGTACATTTCAAATAATCCATTTGCAAAGGTTTGCATTAAAGTGCAACTAATTAAATGAATCATTTGACCTGACGATGTACTTTTGAAATTTTAATTGATTCTAGAAGTACAAACAGATAGATACAATTATATTTGTTGATAAAACTCTTGTGCAAACATGGATGTGTATGTTGGAAATTTTTGTATATAAACCTAGATATGTCTGCCAGATCCTCGTTTGGAAACCTGATGTGTAAGGATCCTTGTTATTTTGAAACTTCTTATTTCTGGAGAAAGTTCCAGTACATATTAACTGATGCCAAAGTACACAAAAAGTTTTCAATTTTCTAATGATTACCACTAAATTGTCTCAACTTAATAGTCCTTGTTTTGTTTCAAATTGAAATCAATTCAGTTTTCATCAAATCATAATAGATAACATTTTAAATTGTTTTGAAATAATAAATTTTCTAGCCTGATAACAGAAATTACAGGTTTGCACAATTTTAAGTGGCCCTTATCTAAATAAAAACTGACTCAATTTACAGAGAAGAGAAGTAATGCTGCAGGGAGGGTGAAACTGTTTTGGTCACTAAGAGTGTCTGTGAACACTGATATTGATTCTTGGCGAGTGATTTAGATAAACTCGTCAGTGTGACATGAATGTCTGAATGGTTCAGTGTGAGGGGTCTACACTAAACTATTCTACATTGTAAGGGTTTGTATACTACACATGTACATTCTTCACCATTAGGCCAAACATCGTAAGCCTGTGTTGATTATAACCCCCACCCCCCACCCCCAAACGAAGTTAGGGACGAAGTTAGGGGGGGGGTATTGGAATCGCCTCCCTCCCTCCCTCCAGCATTTGAATTTCAAATTTCAACACTTTTTAAGGGAGTTATGGTCCCTTATGCGAAACTACTTGTCTGCAAACCCCAAGGTTAAGGTCACTAAATGATGTATTTGTACTGAAGGTTTTCTTGTTTTTGACAGCTGTCTTCCCAGGTCAATTATGATGATGTCAGCATTGGTTAAAATCAGGAAACTTACTTCAAGGTGGTCTATCTCATGGGACATTTTTAGGTCACCTGAGACAAAGTCTCAAGTGACCTATTGCGATCGCCTTTTGTCCGTCGTCGTCCGTCGTCCGTCGTGCGTCCGTAAACAATTTACATTTTCGACTTCTTCTCCAAAACCCCTGAACCAATTTCAATGAAATTTTGCAGGGACCTTCCATGGACAAAGGTCAACAAAAA